CCAACTTTCATTGTTTAGAAGGAAGGAAATAACATCTTATTTTTCTGATAAAATAAACACATTCTCAGACCTGCTCCCTGTGCTGCAGCTCACGTGCGCAGTTATAAAAGCAGCACGGCTGTTGGTTTTTCCTGTTTGTGTCACAGCAGAAGCTTTGATGCGTGTTGCTCACAAGTTAATTGCTACAGCACCCATCCTTCATTCTCTTGTGTTGCGTGTTTCTATAGACTCATGAGTTGAAGGAACCTTTTTTTTTGGTTGTTCAAGTTTTGCCACAATAGATTTAGTCTCATCCTTTTCTGATTTTATCTTGCGTGGTGTATTCTGAGCACAAGTCTTAAAACGTAGCTCTTTCTGAAGAATTGCAGCAGTTTGGTGCAATTTTAGAAAGTTTACAGCTGTACCACTGGGATTTGCTGAGGTTTGGTGTTTAATCATTTAAATATTGCTATTTCTGAAGATTTTATAGAACTTAGGCTAGAGGCCCCTGGGATCAGCTGACCTGCATATGAATCATAAGCCAGTAACTTGCATGTAGTTATTCTTAAATTGAGCCTAAATACTCAAGCTGGACCAAAGCCCGAAGATGTTTGGCTGAAGCAATATTCTGGAAAGGGAAAAACATCAATATAAGTTGAGTTGCTTGGGTGTGGAGCTTCAGTGCCTAATTATCCTTCTTTTTTTTTTTTTTCATCCAAGTTCATAATTAAGATATTTTTGCTTTCATTTTCCATTGGTTATGTTGTGTGCTAGATTAGAGAGAGCTTTCAGTATATTTTCTTCTTCCCCGGTGAAGGTACATGTGAACTACAGACGCCTCCTAGTTCTCCTTTTTCATCAGCTAAATGGTTTGAACTCAGACTCTTATTTGAAGGCATTTTCTGCAGTTCTCTATTCATTCTTGTAGCTCTCTATTACACTCATCTGAACTTTATTCTTACCCTTTAAAAAATGCAAACTGGGGCTGTATTCAGTATTTTTGGTCTCAGTAATGCTTTTTAAGATCTTGTTCTGAGATTTAAAATCTTTCCTGGTCTTTAGCCCAAGTCTGAAACCTGAACGGTTTTACAGTTTGCTGCTTTTTATGGCCATATTTGAATGCAGCTACTGTGGCTTTAGGAACGAAGTTTCTCACAGTGTACAGAATGAATCTTATTGTGATCTTCTGATGGTTGTCTTAACTGAATTCAGCACGTATTTGCACTGAAGTTTCTATGCAAGATCTACTTATTTTTCTTGGAGAAAGTGATTTTGATGTGATACATCAGAATGCCTATTATAATAACTGTTACTTTGGCATACTACTAAGCGGGGAAGAGAATGCAGTCCTAAGTATATTTGTATGTATTTGTAACTCTGGTCTTGCCCAAATTCTCCAAAATTGTGTGAATTCTGTTAGACACATGATCAGCTGAAGGGTACCTGAGGCTGAGTTTGCTTTGGCTAATCAAAAATTAGGTTTGATTTAAATACACATCTGTACAGGCACAGATATATTCACTTGTATGTATACATGCATTTACAGACACACACCTTTGGCTCCTAATCCTGAGAAGATAAAACCCCTGAAATTGTCACGGGGCATTACACTGTTTAGGTGTTTACAGAATGAGGATTATATTTTGCAAAACTTAACAGTCCTTTAGGACCTAAAAAAACCAAGAAAATGAAAAGGGGTAGGAAAATATTCCACATCTCTTTAACTGGAAAGAACATCTACAGTGAAAGATTTTTGATTTGGACTGTCTATAAGACAGTGACTTTTTCTTAAAAGCTGATTTTGGAGTGCAGGGTAACTGCTGGAAAAGTACCCACTTTAAATCTTTCCTTTGTAAGGCTGTGATGAGTCACAGAGTAGACTGCTAGCAATGGGGAAAATTTTTGTGCACATTTCAATAATTGAAATTCTGGCTCTCATTTTCCTCTCTTCTGAATAGTAGAGTATTGCTTGTGTGAGTTTAAATCTCCCTTTATCTTTGGCTATTCCATTATAAAATTGGGTAAACCTTTTATATTGTGGCTATTTTTCACAATACTTTCAAAATACTAGAAAGAGCTACTGATAACACTAAAGCAGTATGAATATACTATTTCCTTTAGGGTGGAAGTAGCCTTTTGATGGATAATGCCCTTTGGTGATGAGTTACTAGCTTCAGATATGTGTCTATCGTTTGATCTCTTCTTTCTGTAACGTGGTTTCTAATGACAGATTTGTAAGAATTTGTTGCCAGTTCAAAAAGGCATTTAGTTTCAAGTTGTACAATAAATTAAGATATCTTAAGATCAGCCAGCAACTGAAATCTTACTCATGTGTTGGGAAACTTTATCCATTCCAACGCTCCTGTATGCCAATGGTGGTGGCGTGGAGTGGTGTGGTCCCACGGGTGGCCTGTGGGATGCTCCCATTTGCTGAATGCTTTTCCCTGCAGGAGCTGGGAGTGATTGAGTTGCAGGTACACACCAAAGAGTGCATTATTCTGGCTGGACCTATGCTGTTCCTGAAAGGGAGGTGGGGAGCCAGCCTCCCTGGCCAGCACTTGGCTTCTGGGTACCTAGTGCTGGGTAACCTGCCCTAGCAGGCTCTGCCACTCCCCATACCCATGTTATCCTCCTTGGAGTTTTGTGCAGGCCTCAGATTTTTGTGCAGGATGGATGTGTCTGATGGCTGCTGTCGCTAGGGAGGGTGTGAGAGAAGGGATGTGAAGAGGAAGTGTGGTGCTTTGTGGGGCTCAGCAGTGGGAAGGACCACGTCCACTGCATGGCGGTGGGTACCTGCCTCTCCGGGGGGGGGGTTCAAAATCCCTGGTCTGGCAGCTGCTGAGGTTGGATCTTGTTGGCCTTCTTTCACCTCCTGTCTGAAGAATAACAGTTTATCCGAGAGGCAGTGCTTTTTGGTAGTCCAAATACTTTTAAGTCCTCTGTGGCTTTACTGCTTCTGCATCATGGCCCTTTATAACACAGGACTGTTAAACAGTTGCAGTTTGACTGCAGGATGTGGCAATTGGTTCTCCTTTCTCTTCAGCCCTGCAAGCAGACTGTAAGCCTGCACCAGGTTGTTATTACTCCCTAGGCAGATAATTTTCTAGGCCTGAAGGAAAGGAATGCTGGTCTGTTTAGGGACAGTGTTTTGTAAGCTGAGTTCTGTTTCATGATGCTGAGCCTGTTTTATTGAGTCAATTCGCATTGCTGTGCTTTAAAAAAAGTGTAGAAAAATTCTCTATAGTGGTTTAAAAAGACTTTTTTTTTGTTTATGGCGATGTACTGTGTTGTTTATTAAAAGATGAAGGTGATAAAAGATAATGTATTTTGCCATTTTAAAATGGTGATTAACCTTCACTTAACGAAGTGCATGTTGAATTCAGCTCAATGGAAAAACTATCCCAAAATGGAAAACAATTTTTACCAGCCCTGTCTATCTCAATGGATTATTTTTTTTCTTTTCTATGTCTAATTAAGATGGAGAATGTAACAGGAAATTTTTCTTTCTAATTCACAGTCCTTTCATGTCAGAACTCCTAGTATTAAGTTGACCTTTGTTGAACCTTCTCCAAGCTTGTCTACAAACCATGGTTTCTGGCAGAATCAAAATTACTTTCCCTTAAAATTCCTAGATTTATTTTCTTTTGTGGCTGTCATAATAATAAGCCTCCTTTCCAACTGAGGAATTGCTCTTCTGTTGTTTCTGGGTTCTTCCTTGTAAGTAGGAAGATCATGCTTATTCCAGATACATCCAGATACCAGCAGCATGTCAGGCTGGGCTGCAGAATGCAGGGAGATGAAAAAGAAACCAGGAGAGCATCAAGAGGAAAAATACAAAGGAAAGTACATTTGTAGAGAGGTGTGTGGTCAGGAGAAAAAGCAGGGAAGTAGAAGACCTAGTAAATTAGTAAATAATAGGGGAAGGGAGAAGAGAGTATGGTGATAGATGGTGAAGGAACAAGGAAAGCTGCAGGCAGGAGAACTTGTCTGCTGGGCAAAAAGACTTTGTTTTGTTTTCCTAAGACCAGGGGCTTAATTTCCAGTTTTGCTGAGATCTCACAGAGATATGAAAGGGGAGTGAAAGATATGTAGAAAGCCTGAGATAATCACAGAAGGTAAATGTATTAGTGCTCATATGTAGTCCAGCATAAATGCCCGCTTCAAATGCAAGAGAACACATACCTAGAGATTAAGAGGTCCTAAGAGAACTACGGTTGAGGAAGCCACACTGGGAGACCAAGAAAATGCTAAAAAATTATGTGCTGGTTTTAGTAGCATGCTTTCAACTGGGTGGAGGCATGTAAGAGTTTTTTGACAAATTGGTAGTGGAGTGGTATTTGGGATTTTAACCCAAATGATTTTGGGTTAATAATAAGTAAAATCAATAGATTTTAACCTCGATAGGGAAAACAGCATTCATAGAAGTTTGTGTGAATTGTGATAGATTTGGATCTTTAACTCTTTAACATGGTAAATGTATTTTTTAGGAGGGGTTTGTTTTTTGGGGTATTTACAATACTCCGGCCCTAGATGTAGCTTTTTTTATATTCAGCTGCAGCAACTACTTATTTTAATCACATCTAATCTTGGAAACCCATCTATCTACAGAGGGTTGGGTATTTGTTTCATAATACTTAATTCTTCTATAATTATATATAACAGGCTGTGTTCCTGTGTTTACCAATGGCTTTGGGGCATGGTGGGAAGAAACTCATGGTAAAGGGATAATTCGTGACTTCTTGTGTACAAACTTCTTAAGCTGCTTTATCTGTTTTAATCCAAAGGCAGCTCTTAGAACTGAAGTCTAATCCGAGAGATGTGTTGATGCAAATGATTAGCATGCCAAAAAGAGCCACATGTGTGAAAAAGGATAAAAAAAGTAGGCCTCAAGATGGATTTTGTTTTACAGTAGCTGCTTAAGTATGTAAACTTGGTCTTATTAAAAACGAATGAGAAAATCTCTGTATACCGTTCGATAATCATAAATGGTTTTGTGCTGTTCTTTCTTTCCAGATTTGAACATGGAATTCAACCCATCGGATCATCCACGGGCCAGTACAATATTTCTCAGTAAATCACAAACAGATGGTAGGTTACTGAATTTATTACAATATTTGCTATTACACTCACCTTGAAACGCTTTGTTAAAATGCGTGTGATAGTCCTTTAATATATAATTCCCTTCCCCAAAAAAGAGGCTTTTATAGGCATTGTGTTGGAGTTGAAACAAGTCACACCTTTGGTTAATTGTTTTCTCGGACCACTGGTAGAAGTTACAGGGTTGAGTCCTGTCATGTCCTGGAATTGTAATTTCTGAGTAGTTGTTGTATCAGAACTACAAATATGGATAAAGCTTAATATAATTATATTGAAAAAATATTTCCCTTAAATCCAAAATTTTATGTGTAACTGTTTGTTGTTTTTTTAAACTCTGAACATTAGGCCAAACTTCTGGGAAATGTCTAGGGAGTATTTTCTTGAGAAAATGATGGTTTAAATTAGGTAAGACAGTCCAGAGTTTCTTCCAATATAGCTGATGCTGTAAATAAGCTCAGTACTAGATTTCAGTAACAGTGGAACCCCCATCCCACCCAAACATTCTCTCTTTTTCTCTCATTATGGATTTGATATAATCACATATTTCTCTGGAGTATTTTTTTTTTTTTTTTTATTCATAGACAAAACGGTCCCTCTGGAATTACATGTTAAGCAAGCCTCTTGACAGAGTTAGTAGAATAGAAGCCATTTATTCTGGCTCTTTCATTCCCTACTGGACGTGTATGACATGTTGTTTTATAAGTGGATGGATAATCGATGCAAAACACATTATTTTCTACCAAGACTTTCAAAGCAGTTTCTACATTGTAATTCTGACTCTTCAGTATGAATTCTTTGTCCTCCTTTCTGCTGCTTATAAATAGCATTTTTGATTTACATAGTAAATTGCAGTGTCAAACACATCACTTCAAAAATAATGTAGTTTTAACTTACTGTATATTTTTTGCTAATTTTTGAGCATGACTAGAACAAAGAGGATATACATTTAGGCCCTAAATGAAGAGTTGATTATGTGAGTACCTCTTTTGCCCTTCAGATTGTCCTTCTGAATTCAGCCCTCGTTTTGTCAATGCCTTATTATGTGGTTTTGGGTGTGATTTACCATTCTAATCTAGTTTGGTAGTCTGTAAAATAAATATGATAATATTGCCATAGTACACTGTATTATGAAGATTGGTGTCTATTTCATAGTGGTTTTATAGTATTTTGAAAACGTATAATCCCATACAGATGCTACATGTTTCTAGTTACAGCTTGTTGACAAAAAGGACAAAAAAAAAAATCCCAACAACTAAAATTTTGGCCAGATGTGATGATTATTCTTTTAATTATTAATTACAGTATGTAGTCAATTGTAAGCATTTTTTTAAATTACAACATACACCCATGCTGGAGTTGATCTGTGAAACTTTGTTCTAGTTTAAGTAATATGAAGAGCATTTGTCAGTGAGAACAATAAGCTTAGTGAAACATAGAAATGTTATCAACAGGAGTGTAAGATCTGTTTAGCTATCCTTGATCACAGTTGAAAAAAATCTAAAGTTTTTCTTGCATGTACAACAGAAAAAGGATTCTGCAAACATTTATCTGCCGATGTACTCCCAAGAACCATCTGTTCTGGTGGGGCAGGTCACAGTAGTAAGCATTTTGCTTGGCTGTAATTTGGGCCTGTTGTGGAAGCAAGTGAGCTGTAAGACTTCTTAAACTATTCAAGGATGTTGCCTGACACCAAAGTGCAATAAAATGCTTGTTGAGGGGAAAATAAAAGGGTTCTTTAGACTGCATAGGGTTGTAGTCTGACAGCCTGCGGTGGAGCCTAGGGGACCCCCAAGACTCCTTCAGTCAGTGTAGAAGGTGGAGAGGTGAGCTGGCAATGTTGAAAGCACCAAACTTGGGCATGTAACTACCTCTCTCCATTACTTGTATATTGTTGGGCTGGCAAACCTTCCTGTTGACTGTAAGTGAAAATATTTTCTGTAGACAAGAACTGCAGACGTTCAGAATATACATATTGGAGACCTGAGGGTCATCAGGACTCAAGGTTTCATCCAGGACCTGGCTGTGACTCTTGAGCATTCACCACGTGTTTCTACAGCAGGAAAAAGCCATGTCCATATCTACATGATCGTGACTTGGCAATCTTACCTTCAGGCAGTTCCACGTTTGGCTTTCTAGTAGCACTGTACTCTTTTAGCCTCACTGGTAATCTTGTAGTACTGACCTTGCCTAGGAGCTGTGCTTGGGCTGCTTGTGACCAACACATGAATGAAGAGCAACAAGCTGACTACCCCAAATATGATAAGACAGGACGTGGCATCTCTGGGTATTATGTGGTCTGAATTTACCATTGTTCTGTGAAGCTTGGATGCCATGCTAAGCATCTGACATCTGTCCTGTCCCTCTTACACGGTAGCCTGAATGCATCCTTCATTACCTGAGAGTTCAGTGAATCTGCAGAGAAGTTGAAGACACAATAAATATTAATTTGATTTCTAACTTAAGTACCTTTTCCAAATGTTTCCAACTCTTTGTGGGAATTTTCTAGTTGCTGAATTTTACATGAGTATTCTCCCTGTTTGGGAAGCTAGTAAAAAATACCACTTTTTATGTCTTCTGTGAGTGCTTTATGCAAGTTCTCCCTTGTTTGCAGAGTTTGGGCTGGAAGCAGAATGGTTTAGGTGACTGAAGAGACATGCACTGTTTAGTGTGTGGTTGTGATAAAGCCAAGGTTTCCAAACCTTAGCACTCCAGTAACGTAACTTCCGTTCCTTATAGTAGCAAGAGGGCAACAGTTGCTACTTCAGGGTTCTAGTAGTGGTCTTTCCTGTAAGTGGGTTACAGCTGTCCACCTCTCCTAACTTACATTAGGCTTTACACATTCAGTGTGCTGGCTAAATTTTGCAGTATCAGTGCAACAGTGGGCTTCAAAGAGAACTCTGAGATTGTATTTATACAGTGGATAGAAGTGAAGCAAGCTGCACTTACTCTTCAGTGTAAACTTGGACTAGTCTCCTGTCTTGGATAAAAGAAGAAGAAATGATACACAAACTTCCTGAAATGTGAGACGTTGTTGTAATCCTCAAGGATTTTGCCTTTGATCCTGCTATGATTATCACTAAGATAGTCTATACAAGTTGCACAAAGGAAGTTTATTACAGCTCAATGAAAAATACGTACATACACACACACGTATATGTGCACGTGTGTGTGTATTTCCTCAGTCCCTTTTATTTCAGGATATTACATTTTCCTACTATTGCAAAAGTTCAACAGTTGAAAGGGCCAGCAGTAATAGGAACAGGTCACTGACCTTAAAATGGGGAAAATGAAAACAATTTGGCAGCATCAGTCTCCTCTTGAAGAGTTCCATTCCACCTGTGAAGTTTTAAAATGTTAGAAAGCAAGAAGTTCAGTGCTTTAAACTGACTCTAAGTCTGTTCAGCTTCATTTCTTCAAAACCCCATGCAGGAAAGCCAAAAGCCTGGGGTTGCAGTCAGGAGTTTGTGCTACAGAATGACGGCTGGCTGCCATGCTGCGGTCTGGTCTGCTGAGGACCATACCGTGCTGTGTGACAGTGCAAAGCATCTTCAACTGAAGCCAGGTGTCAGAATTACCTCCTTACAGTCATTTTAGCTTGGCAGAAGTGTCCTGGTGCAATAATTGTCTTTCCCTTGTTTAAAGGGAAAGGGTTGCGATGACAAAAGAGAGCGGTTATGACAGTGGGTTTCTGCTCTGCCCGATTACCTGTTGGCATATGCTCTGGGAAGGGTTGAACCTTAGGCTGGGGCAGAGAGGGCCAGAAGCACAAAAGCAAAGCTGCGTTCTTACAGTCCTCCATCAGAGAATCCAGGCTTGCTGAATTTTTGTTATACGGGAAAAATAAGGGAAAGGAGGCCAGCGTGGCGCTTAGAAGAGTGTGCAGCACAAGCAGTGCTTGAGCAGGAAGAAGTGAGGGGTGTGTATAAATACATTAATATATTCTTCTGGAGAGTGGAAATAGCAAATGGGAATGAGCAGTGAGTGATGCTTCATCTTGCTTTGGCAAACAGATGACTGTACTTTCATGGTGAATTGTATAACAATGGATACAAGGGAAATACAAAAGAAAAGAACTAAGGTAGGGGGAAGAAGGGTGATTAAAATGGAATTTGGAGTGCATGTGCAGGCTGTTTCTGGGATTTTGTCCATATATGGTATAATTGTTTGTGATTAAAACACTGTTAAATACTTAACTGTCTTCAAAATTTTGCAGTTAATAGGTGTTAATTCTCAGTTATGATGTGCTCTATGAGGTTTACATGCAGCTTACCAGAATTGTTTACTGCCTGTATGTTGCAGTATGCAATACTAGACAAATACTTTGGCTATTCTTAGAAGTGAATCTCTACCATCATTTTGTTGTTCCCCTTCAGATAAGTTATGTCCCTTGCTGGTGATAAATGCAGTGTGTGGAACTTAAGCGCAGTGCAGTGTTTTAGCAGGATTTCAAGCAGTTTAACTATTTACTAGACGATCAGAATTTTTCTGCCGTTCCTGTTTTATTTTGTTTCTTATGCAATGTCCGTAATTGTGGATCTGAGCATGTACTAAGTGACATGGCTAACATCTGTCATGTGTGATTCTCCTTTCTGCTCCCTGGGAGGAAAATTATGTAAGGATTTAAAAAAGTTTTTTTTCTTATTTTCATTTTGTGTCTGCATCGAACACAGTTATTTCACAGTATTCACACATACAGCCTTGTTTATGTGAGATTGCTTGCTTATAAAATATCACAAATAATGGCTTCTCATCCAACAGGGAATGGACAGGCTATCCCACCATTATGAACACTCTTATTTTGCTAAGTGCATTGGGTTGCATAGCTTTCAAGTCATGGTGCACCAAAGTGCATTTAATCACCTATAGCATGAAACCATCATTATTTTAATCCCGCGGTTTGATTTATGTGTTAGTTGCCTCCAGACTTGTATCCTAAATGCTGTGGTTTTTTCACTGGAACAGAGCTCCACATGCTCTCTATGGGGTGAGTTAATTGGGAAGGTGCTTTAAAAAAAATTAAATAGAGTATATTTAATCCACTGTAATAAGGATTTGCCTGACAATTAAAGCTCTAAACATCTATCTCCCTTGTTGTTGCTGTTTACTTTCTGAATGTTTTGGCTAATTGTGGCTTTGACTTGCAACCCTTGCTTGTGGTGACGGGTTCATGCTCACCAAAATAATATATTTTCATTGTTATATCTGACATGAGTAATGGTGTCAGGCTTGCACCTGATCATTAGAGAAGGCAGTGCTATAATGCATATGGTTTCACAGCTCCTCTATGGGAGTTAGTGCACAGGAAGCTATGGTGAGAATTTGCTAACTCCGTGGTGTAGCTATTGAGGTGCTTTCATACCTGCAAGGTAGTGCAGGCCACTTTACAGCAGGGTAACTTGCACGAAGGCACTGGGGGCTCAGGAGTACCAACACAGAGAACTGGTGAAGGATGGCTAATCCATTGCTAACTTGGCCTGTAGCTTACTGCATATTAACCTTCCCATGCGGACCAGCACCTGGTGAAGTACCCAAATGGATGAGAATTGTAATCCCTCATCACGCTAGTGGGTGTAAATGCATTTATGCATACAGATATATGTTCCCTTTGTGTTTGCTTTATAAATATACTTGGTTAGTGCGAAAGCAGTTATAATGTTGCACATAGCTAGCCTCCTGTTCTTTTTATTATAAATGGTGTATAAGAAGTTTAATCGGGAAAAATAGTCATGTAATATTTCTATCATATTTTGTGTTTTTGCAGTGAGAGAAAAACGCAAGAGTCTCTATATAAACCACGTAAGTGAAAATGCCTCGCTACGCAGCTTTCTCCTTGTTGTCTGTATTATACAGTAAATAAGAGTTACCACACGTGATTTCCATATTGGTGAGAGGGTGCTGATGCTTGAAATGTCTGTTCTGCATCAGGATCCAGAAGTACAGGTCTCAGCTGTTGAGTTAGTGGAATAGATCTGTTGGTTTGAAGACAGTATCATACTCCCAACCAGTGTACGTAGGTCACTGGTACCTGGGACAAAGAGCTGCACACATTAGTATGACTTTTAATAGCATTACAAGAACTCTCAAAACTTTGGATTACATTTGTATGCAAGTTTGCTTTGGCAGAGAGCTGCAGCATTTGATATTTACACAGAAGTTCTGAAGTGCCTGACCAGTGTTGATGCAATGTAAATGTGGATTGACATGTGGTACATGCTGCATGGAAAGATGGAGTTTTGTTACGCTTGTGTACCCTGGGTATTTTTCGGTTCAGTTCGTTGGAATCAAATTCTCGTTGAAGCTGAGAGCAAGTCCCCTGCAGCCTGCTTTGGGAACGGGACCAGGCTCTTTGCCCCAGTTAGTATTGTTTGTACCACTGAAGCACCTGGAACCGGTGTGGTTCCCATGATGTTAAACCTTGTGCTGAAATGTCTGGAGTCACGCCTCAGTAAAACTGAGGAGGGAAAGAATTAATGGTCTCCCAAATGGTATTTGCCTTTAGGGTGAAGTTTTTCTATCTGGAAATACAGGCAATCATCCCATGAATCATTTGAAGCCAGTGCATCTGCTGAAAGAAGCAGATGTGGTTTATAGCTTCTGCATCCCTGTGTGCTGGGGCGAATGTTTGTGCAGCTTCAGGTAAACTGGATTGGAGCGTGAATGCAGGTGGATTCAGCACCAGTGAAAGCTACAATGGATCTGCTCCTCAATGTCATTCACTTCATGGCTTCCACTCGCAGAAAGGGTGGGAGTGAGGGGGGTGGGAAGGCAGGACTGCTTCATTCCTTGGCACAACTGGTTTGTGCTGAGGGTTTCTGGGACTACTGCCTGGCTTCAAAAGCAAGCTGAGATTTTCAGTTTACTAAGAGTTAAGATTTTGAGAAGTCATGAGATACTGTGAGGCTTATAAGAGCCTTAAAGTCGGCCCCATCAGGTTAGCAGATACTCTCAGTGCTTCTCACCTTCTATTCCCCTGTCAAACATTTCCATTATTTACAGTGAGGGTGGTTTGCAGATATGCTGTTACAAATTCACTTGTAAAGCTAATGAACTGGGTTCCTGTCAAATTAATAATGTGTGCTCCGTAACTTCCGTCATGCTTTTTAGCCTTAAACTTGGAAGTTTCAATGCAATTAAAAAAAAAAAAAAAAAAGACTCTGCAAAGGAATGTACTGAGTTTCTTTGACACCCCACCTTGTGTCACGGATGACATCCTCATGTGTCCTCAGTCGTTCCATGTCACGTGAAAGCTGTGTTCTGCGTTAGGCAGAGTGCGGGAGGATCAAATAAGGATCGCTCTTACAAATGCTGCTGGAAGCACACTGTTGCAAACCCTGGTATAAAGTATTTTTAGGCAATGCTGGGCTTGTTGCAGAGAAGGGGAGGGTGGTCATATCACTGAGAAGCTGTGATGTTGGGAGCTCAGTGTAGCAGTTGATACCCTCTTCCTAATACCTCTTCCTAATTTTTTTTTTTCCAAGTATCATTCAAAACATCGGCTAAGGTTGTTGCAATGTGAACATCCCCCAGTAGTCTGCTTTACTGCTACCTTAAGTCTGACTTCTTTGTATTTACAAAGTACTTCTAAATTGCAGAGCTAAAGATAACTTTTATGAAGTGAAGTCCTTACCATGGCTTTCTCTGTGTGTGCCCTTCTAAGTCAGTTAAGATTTTTAGTCAGTGCATGTACATAAGCTGTGTTTTCAAATGTGACCTGTGATATTGAAGTTGTTACTTCAGCAGACCTGTGAGCATTCATTCAGTACCGCTGAATTACTCAGTCTGCTAAAGCTGACGCACAAACTGGTCGGTTTTTAGGTGGTTGCTGTGGCCTTCAACTGGGAACTGTGTTTGGGTTTGTGGAGTGCAGGGAGCCATCCTAATTTTCCCAGACCATCTTGTTTGAAGACATTTGAGGAAATAGTTAAATTTAACAATTGCATGTGGCAAATTATGGATAGTATTTACATCATAAGCAAATTCATGATAAACCCTGTTGTTTTCCACCATTTTTCAGTGTGTGCTAAGTGCATTTGTAGCAGGAGCTATTGCTACTCATCTGTTTCCTTGTTGATGTGAAGTTCTGGGTCCCCCTCTCTGCTCTGGAGGAAACAAGCCAGAGGACATAAATTTTGGAGTGTTGTTCTGTCTTTCTTTTACAACTCCTCACCATAATGCAGCACTCTTCTCTTTCTTGTGGTTTTTACATAATGTAATCTTTTTTTTCTTTCGTAAGTCTTTTATACTTATTCTTCTTTTGTGATAAACAACCAAGATAAGCAACAAATTTTTTTTAATCCTTTTGTGCACTATCTTATTGGTTATTTTGCAGGACAGTTGAACATTTATCAAATGATTAGAGTGGCCGGCTAGCAAGCGAATATCTAGAAATGTTGTGCTGTCTCTTCTTTAACTGCTTGCCTAGTTCTGTGTAGTAATAGTTGAGAACAGTAGTTTATACAGTTTCAAAATGTTATGTGTGAAAAAATTAATGAATTAATACTGGCTTGTTTTCATTTGAAATAAATACACTTTGTCAGTATGATAACACCACTGTTCTTTTCCTTTCTTGCTTGCTCTTCTTTGTAGAATATTTTAATTGGCTGAGTATTTTCCTTTCATCCCCAAATAGAAGTAGTGGGTTCCTGCTTTGATTTATTGCACTTTGTGAAGGGCTGGCAGTTGCCAAGTTTCAGATTCACCTTGTCAGTAGGTGTGATGGAAAAAGCCAGCAGCTGTTATTTTTTTGGGGTGGGGAATGCAAGGGGGAAGAAATGAAAGTGGGGGTGACAGGGTGCTGTGGAGAAGCTGTCATCTCTCAGCCTTCCCACGGAGCCCATGGAGACAGACAACACATTAGAGATGGTGCTGGATCCTTTGCATAACTTCCAGTATCCTTGTTGGTGCTGGAACTTACCTACCTACAGTGTACCTGGTGTGTTTGCTTTCTTCCAGCCTATTTTATTTTCTAAGTGCTTGCAGCAGACTCTGCTTCCCCTTCCCGTTGAAGTGGTGGTTGGTTTTTTGTTATGGTTTCAGTGCTGCTTCAGTGTGTCCTTGTCTTTTCTTTTAATCTGCTTAGTCAAGCTGCTGAGGGTAGTCAGTGCAGACGGAGGTAGAGGCGTTTTCTTTTTCAGAGGAGAGATTGCATCAGTATCTCTGCCTGTACAAGGAAAGCAAACAGGAAGGCATGTTTTATGTTGTTTTGGGCAGGTGGGTGGAGAAAAAGTGAATTTTTTATTATTGTTTGCAGTAGCTAGTGCTTTGTACTGAGTGACTATTTTTTGCAGGGGAAAGGAGCAGTGACGGGGAGGGAGAAGTTGTTTTCTGCCTCAATTTTTTTCTAGAAATTTTCCTTTTCAGACAAGACGAAAATGCTCTGTTTGCCAAAGTACTTTTTCTTCCTGACAAGATACGCTCTTAAAGTTGAATCTGTGTTTGAGCAGTGATACCTAGTAAAAATAAGGGATATTTTTTGCATATTGGAATATTTTGGAAGGAAGATAAAGGGAAGTAATATCTCTGTTGCTTTTTTCTATTATTCTGGAGCTTCATCAGCCTCTGTCAACAGCTTGCTTTCAGCATTGTCTTATTTAGGGATCTGAACATGACTTCCCCTGTTTGCTACCTGGCTACTTGATGTTCAAGTGCCAGCAGACTAATACTGTTCTTAAAATTCCAAGTAGAAAAAGTAACATCTGTGTGTAGACCTAAATTTTTCATCGTCCTGAGGAAAAGTTCCTGGGCATCATTCATGTCAGAACCCCAGTCCCTGTAAGTGACCAGGTTGTGATTCACGTCAGGAGACGCTTCTTCCCAGCGACAGCCTTGCTGGTGGGGACTGGCAGAGAACGGGAGGGGTCCTTTGCTATACGTGGTGTGGCACAAGCAATTACTGTGAGCCTTTTTGCATGCTTGAAATACTGTATGGCGTTTGCTCCTGCGTAGCTTCCAAGTTTTCATGTCGGATCGGATTAAGAGGCTGGTTTGCTTCCCTCTTGTAAAACTACTGGGCACATGACTAGTAATCAAACACTTTCAGCAAGTGATTATGAAAGGAAATACGGAATTGGAAAATACATGCTGAAATTGGAACATAGTCTCATGGATTAAACTACTCTTCAAAAATGCAAAGCACAACATGAAATCTGAAATGTTTTTAAGTGGACTGCCTGAGGCTGGCTGTTGTAAAGGTTTATAATTCCTGTCCAAATTCCTTAAGATATTTTAATTAACGGTCCTTACTCAGAGAGAAGAACAAGGTAAACTGGAAGATAGATTAGAGGCTTCTCAGGTGCTCTTGAAGCTCTCCTAGAGATTAAGTAATCTGGTCTTTGCTCCTCTCCATTACAAGATCACAAAAACAGGTCCAGAGGGGAGGCCTTTGTATGCCATCTGGCTCATCTAGCAGATTCCCTGTAGTGATGCCATTCCTAACAGTTGCTGTTTAAGATGCTTTTTCAGGCTTCCAGTAAGTTAGAATTAAGAAGTTTTCTTTAATGGCTTACCTAAATTTACTGTTTGAAATGTTTTTTCCTAGTATCTTTCAGCCCCTTGCTTCTTTTCCTGTCCTCTAGGGTGAAGAATTTTACCTCTTCTATCAGCCTCGAGGCAATAAGTTACATGAAGGGTCAAACTTTTGTAGGGGGAGGAACAAAAGCAAACTTTTAAGGTAGAATGACAGCATGCAAGAGAGTTCTACAAGGTTGCTATGTAATGTGTGCTGGGAGCCTAGTAAAGTCCCTCTGGTCAACACTAGCAATTATACATGATGTAAATATAAGGCTTTGAGCTGCTTTTAGTGTTCAAAGAAATATTTAATCTTTTCAGGTTTGTAAAACAAGGTGCTTTATCAGTGGTTAAGTAGAGCCTGTGTGTGCTGCGGAAGAGTTTACAAGTGGCTGCTGAGCCCTGCAAGAGCTCCGCTGTACTCTGACATACCTTTCTGTTGTTGACATGCGTAAGGACAAGCTTTGAGAGCAAAAAAACTTGCAAGAACAGATCTAGTCTAAGGCATCAGTTTTGGACACTATCAAACACTGGTGAGACTAACTGAGGACAAAGTTGAATCGTGATACAGACTGATGAGGGACAGTGGGTATTGCTGAAGTCGTTGGACTGGATCTTTTTTGTAATGTAGGTGTTGACAGAGAAAGGTAAACAGACAATGGTGGTGTTTCCTGGAGCTTTGGTTCAGGTGACTATACCCATATCTAGCCAATAAATACAGACAATTGTGCTGTAGTGTCAAATTATGCAAAACGAAAATAAATGCAGAGCTTTGCAGAGCTGTGGAGAGAATTGTGTTGCATGGCTTGCTTGATTTTGGAAACACTTTGTTGACCTGTAAAATCATGTTTCTTCTGTGAAAAATGTTGTCAGAACTAAGTCATGTCCTGAAGCGATAGATCTCCAAGATAGGAACTTTTCCAAGTCAGAAGCAGTCCGGGTATTTTTTCTTGCTTTTGTAATTTGGCTTCGTGTGTACTTTTACAAGCCAGTTTTCCCTGTTAGCATTTTGGCCAGCCTCTACTGCCTGGGAGCTAATGGGCATGTCTCCACAGATGAGTGCAACCAGGCCTCAATTTTTCCATGGGGGGGGAAATAATATTTAATAGAACCTTTTAAAGTCATGCAGTAACTTACACCTCGTTTGATGGAAGAAGAGACAGTACTATCATTATTTAGACAGAAGCTGCAAATTATCTTTTGATGGACAAGTGCAAAAGAACACTGAAAAAGGCTGAAGCTGCTCTGCCAAATGGGGAGTTGGCTGGCTGAAGGCCAGCTCTGGTACAAAAGCTGTATAGCTTCATTAGGGAAGTGATGTGCCCTAATGAACAAATCCTGCTGAGCACCAGGGCAGAGTGCCATACTAGTGTTGCTGAAGAGCTTCCAGGACAGAGCTGGCTGGTACCCCTTCTGGTCACTTCGGAGTGTGAGTTTTGGTCAGTATGCACCCGTCTGTTAGCTGTTTCTACTCAGAAACACCCTGAAATGACTCTTTTAACAAAAGTCAAAGTAACACTTCCCCTTTCCCCACAAATTTAGGTTTAATTCTGAGTGATGCTAAAATAAAGGCTGAGAGAAATTAATCCTTTCGTGTATTCTTATTGTGAAGTAGTTAGAAATTTGTGATGCCTTTCATAGCAGGTACATAGAAGCAGCTCTGCAGAGCTTATATGATTTTGATGGCAAGCTAAGCCATTCTATTTCTGATAAGATGTATTTTATGTAAACTTCAAGTAAATCCTATTGTTCAAACATCTTGGAACAAATGGGATCTGGAAAGATGGAAAGTTTCAGGATGAAGCTTGGAGAAAAAGAAAGCAGTGGTATTTCCTCCGTGCTAGTTATGCAAGAGGGAAAAACTGCTGGTTTTAAGAGTTGGAAACACCTGACATTAATGGAAATACATGGAATCTTGATCTCTTGGAGCTTGTTCTGTAACACGTGAAAAAGCTTAGCAAGTTATAAAGCAAATTTTTTTTTCCTGTTACACATCTTTTCCTGTAAAGAAAGAAATTCCATAAAACAGGTGTTCATTGTAACCTACAATGTCAGCATTTCTTAATGACAGTTGGTTCAGAATTCATCTCAAGAGGTTGTTTGGTCTTGTTTCTTGCTTAATAGCAGAATCCTGAATCTGAGCCGTTCCCAGCATATGTTTGTTTTACCTTTTCTTTACAACTTTCAGCGATGGAGATTCTGTCACTGCTCAAGTCACTCAAGCTATCCTTGCTATTAGAAAAAGGTGGCGGCCTGGTTGTTGGGGAATTGTTTTTGCCATCACCTCATCTCACACCTTCATGTGCAGTCTTAATTTTCCCTAGTTTAAGCTTGGTCTTCCCAAGTATAAGCTTGGTCTTTATCCCATCCACAATGGTCACAGAGAACAATGTTTTCTTCTTTGCAACTCCCTCCAACATAACTTAAGGCCATTATTGTTGGTTTGTTCCTGGAGAAAAACTCAAGTGTTTCAGCTTCTCCTTCTATATCACATTTTTCAAACCTCTGATTAATTTTGCTGCTTTCTCCTTCTGACTCTCTGAAATCAATTCATCTTTCTTGAAATAGAGTGGTCAAAACTGGACATAAAATTCCATATGAGCAGAGTGGAAGGGTGCTCTGCCCTGCTGTATACTTGATAACTCTATAAATCCTATATGACGTTTTCCTTTTTTTGTTTGTTTTGGTTTTGTTTGGTTTTGTTTTTTATAAGAGAGTCCTCTGCAAGTTAAAGTCAGCTGCAAATTGAGTAAAAAATACCTTGATTCTGTTACCAAAGTTATTGCTTGATATTTTACATTGGGTAGGCCAGACCTCTGTAGAATGTCTCTTACTTTAACCTTCCAATTTGGAAGTCATCCCTGGGTAACCAGAATGTAGTTTTCCAAGTAGTTTTTACCTCCTGAGTTTTCCTTGGTTTGCCCTTGGGGAATGTTATGCAAGATGAAGTCAGAAGTGTTGCTGAAGTTGAGAAACATGACATCTGCTGAACAGGGTACAAAAATATTACTACTGCAAGTTAAAGTACATATAGTGAATCCCATGTCAGTGAGGTGCTTTTAATTTGTAAATATTTGTAATAGCAGAGGTTGTCAACACTCTACATGTGTCCTCTGTTCGCTGTCATGTTCGCGTATGAAGATTTACAAAAGGAGCTATACCAGGCCTTTCTTTCCCCCATGCCATCCTTAATGGTGGGACAGAACCTGAGAAGGATTCCATTAACATTAGAGGATTTAACTAACTTCTTCAAAGCCTCTATATTCTTTCCCATGTCTTCTGACTTTTGTCACTTAATACCTCTCTGACTTGTCTATATGGAAGTTTTTTGTGGTCAACCGCGATGGATTTGAAATGTGAAGGCATTAAGTTCCTGTGCAATTTTGGGTGTGGAGGTATCCCATTGAAATGGACACAGAAGGGGGTTTCTCTATGGGATAGTGCCGAATACTGTGGTGATACTCAGTGACCTCTTTTTGCCGTTGCAAGAATGGAGAAGGTTCCTGTGCAGTGTTTTATGGAGGCTCATAGAAGCCTCTTTGACTTGACTGTGGGACTTCAGATGTCTTCCAGCTTAGTCAAGCTACAGTATGGAACTGACGGTGTTTTCCAGTAATTTGGAAATGGCAGAAAATTGTTACCTGGCATACCATATGTCTGCAGTTGGACGCCAGAGTAGAATCTGGGAATGTTGATCTACTGATAGGTTAGTTATTCACATGGCACAGATGTGTATATATACCCCAGATAATAAGTTTCCACTTGGCACCGTTCTTCATCCTGGCAGAGGTACCCCTGCCTGCCAGGCTGCTGCGAACAGAAAGCAAGGCATGAGACACCACATATTTTTCCGAAGTGTGAAAAGTTATAAGCCTAACAAAGTGTGATGTGGGCTGAAAAATCATGGAGAGTTCTGTGATGTGGTAGTTTCAGGAATAAGGTGTGTGGCTGTAATTATTGACATGTGTCAAACGTTAGAGTGCTGTTTACATAAAAAAATTTAAATCTGATAATGGTGTTGCTACAGAGTTGTTTTCTGTTCTTCAGTTGTGCTTGCCTTGAATGAATCCTGTCCATTTATCTTAAATTTTATCTAAGCCTTTAAAACATGTTGACACTTAGAATGTAGACTTAAAACTTTCCATGTGTGGGTGTTTTGTTTGGTTTTTTTTTTAATGATGCTGAAGTGTCTGTACCTCTCCCTTTCTTCCAGCCACTAAACAATTTCATTTTCATCTGGTTTTAAGTTGCTCTGCCTTTATCTTGCCTGTGGAAGGTACTCAACAGACTAATATAGAAATTTGAACTCAATTGTGGTAGAAAAAGCTATAAATTACCAGGCCCCTAGTAATTCTCTCTGTATACAACAATGCCAGATAATGCATTGTATGGCATTAATGCTTCCAGTGCTTCTAAATTTTCTGTTTGTTGCCTTGCTTAACAGATAATAGCTTGGAAGGTAGATGGGTTCTGAGCTTCCAAAGTATTAGGAAATACCTTTCCAAACTCCTGGAGAATTTTTGAGAGGGGATAATTTTCATTTTCTTGCTACATTTCCAAGAAAAGCGGTTTAGCATACGATTTTATTGGTCAGGTGAGGGACCTTGATAGGATTTGTTGATGAGATTTCAGATCATTAGAACATAATGTTTCTATAATTATAACAGCTTCAGATTTTTTTGTTGTTGTTTTCAATTAACAGAAGACTTTGAATGCTATTTCACTCATAGCTGTGAAAAATAGATGACTCAGATGCATGTAGGCTTTACCAGGAGTCAGTCTGTTCTGTATCTAATGAATGCTGCTAAGAAGTCTGCTGCCCATGGAAAATGAAGCGTTAGTGAGATGAAGGGGTCTGGCACTTGTAATAGTAGCTGTTTTGGAAATTAGGCGGGGGAAGGCGTACTGAAGTAGGAGTCACAGAACTGTAGCCTAGATCCTCAGTTGCTCTGAACTGGTAAATGCCTGTGGATTCCACTAATGGCACTGACACTGGTCCCTCAACTGAAACACTGGAACACCATTCATTGTAAGACAAATGAAAATTTCCATGTGGATGCGCCAACTGAATTTTAAACCTATTCTTTTGTAAGTTAAAGGTGTAATTTGACTGGTCTTAACTTTCCTGACACAGGTTCTTGGTCAAGTTATTCGCTAGTGTAGATAGAATAAGCAGTGATGAAATCAGAGACCAATAATGACTGTGATAGCTATTAGCTGGTATGATGAAACTATCCCCCTTAGACTGGTGGAGTGCGGCTGCCTTAAACAGCTGCAGGAGAAGCCCTCTCAACAAAAATCTTCAGAAATAAGCAGGGTTGTCAAATGTCATTTTGTGGCTGAGTTTTCCAATATTTTTGCTATGGTAGTGCAGAAATAGTATTGAAATCTGTGGAAAAATTTATGTTAAGAGCTGTTTCTTTTTTATTTGCATATCCACTTTCTCTTACTTTGATCAATTTTATTCCTGATTAATAACAATCTATTATTGATGAATTAATTTTTCTGAATCTTCCCTATTAATTTTTAGAGGTTTTAATAGCTTTGCTGTAAAGACTTCTTTCCTCTACTTCATTTTTTAGGGTTTGTTCGGTTGGGTTTTTTTTTAATTCTATTTGTTTTTCCAGGCATGGTTTTGTATCTGTTTCTAAATAAATCTTCATTGTTAACATGATTTCTTTTTCACTTTTCCACTTACTCTTTTGGACTGTGGACAGAAACAGGTTTTGTTCATATTTGCTTTCCAAATGTATGTATGTAGTTGAGTAATTCTGCACAAAAATGCTTGCATGGTTTTGGGAAAGGACAGAGGGGAGACTGGGACTTGAAAGCATTAGTCAAGGCTCAGGCAGGGATTGTTGTGACTTTTACCCTGGTAATTATTTCTGAACTTTCTGAACTGCTTCAAAACATGATCACATTACTGTGTGCATCACTGGGAGACACAGAGAAATTTGTTCTTTTCTAAATTCTTGCATCTCCTCAGAAAGTTGTTTTAGTATTACATAATTGCCATTGTTCTTTTGTATGTTTTTCATAGCATCCTCCTGGGCAGTTGAGAAGGAAGTACAGTTCCTGCTCCACTATTTTCCTGGATGACAGCACAGTCAGTCAACCAAACCTCAAGTATACCATCAAATGGTGGGTTTTATAATTTATTTTTTTACTAGAACCTACATTATGTATATGTGTACACATAGTTCTGAGTCATTACTAGACAAGCTTCTTAGTTTTTGAAATAGTGAATTTTTTTTAATCCAGTCATGCTCCAGAAACAGTGAATAGGATGAGCAAAGGGTATTAGTCTGACTTTAGGTCCATGCAGAATCAAACTCCCAGTACTGCATATCTCACCACAACTACATTCTAGCAGCTGAAATCCTTGTGCTTCAGCATTCAACTGGATACTTGCTTTGGATGAGTTCTCAAAACTTGCTTGGATAATTGTTTATCCAGAGTTTAGGAATTACCTGAAATCTCCTGAAATCAATGAGCTTTTTTTCTGTTCATGAGAAAATACTCATTTGCTAAGCTTTCCTTCCAGTTTTCTGGTTGAAATAGAAATTAATTGCCTCCAGATTCATGTCCTCATTGAGTACAAGGACACTGGTACTTTATTGCGCAGCAGTAGGGAGCTCTCTATGTGGTGCACACACAGGCTTACCCCTGGTTGACATCTCAGATGATCATTTCAGGTTTCACTGGTGCCTTTTTACATTTGGAGAGAAATGCTTATACTTACAGTGCATTGTTCTTTACATTTTGTATGGTAAGGAGGAAAATGAGAGAACAAATGCATGGGCATGCTATGCTGTTTGTTTATTACGATGGCTGATGGATTCTGAATTGTTTGTAGCATGGTTACCTTGGTGTACTCAAATGCAAAGTTAATTATGTCTGTGCTATGAAGACTGAAAAGTACATAAGAGACAAATATATTCAAACTAACACATCCAAAGGAATTTTTACTGTTGGTGGTCACTAAAACATGTTCTTAATTTTTCTGTTTAAGAAAAAAGAGGGGAGTGGAGAACGGATTTTTTTTTTTTTTTTTTCCCTGCTGGAGTCTTGTATTCTTCTGCTCTAAAATCCTTTGCATGCAGGTTTTTTAACTGCAGCCTTTTGGGGTAGGGGGTCTGGTCCCTTTTAGCATTGGAACTGAGACTGCCGGTGGATGGAAGAGGTGGGTCCAGTTGGCTGGAGCAGCCAAGAAGCATTTTCAGTGGGCATCGGTGGCCAGCAGCAGCCTTGTGAAAGGGGAGACAGAGAGACAAGCTGAGGGGAAGCGCAATGGTGAGGTTTGGGAGAAGCCCGGGCTGCGTGGCAGGGGCAGAGCTGTAGGGAGGAGAGGCCCACGCTAGGCTGGAAGCACGGGCGCTGGGTCCAGGCGGGAGCAATGCTGCAGGGCTGGGGCCAGGCTGCCAGGGAGGGAAGGGTTGGAGGCTGCAAGGGGTCAGAGGGTTTGAAAAGGGGTTATGCGGGGTGAGAAACTGGACTCTGGAACATGAGGCCTCTGTGTCAGGAGTCTTTCCTCCTCTTCACTCATGTCTGGCTGCACATTTAACAGATTTAAGGGTGGGACAGTTGCAGGATTGTTGTTTTTGTGGTACAGCTTCATTTCTTGGTCCCATCCTGGCAATCTCTACAGATAAATGACTGTTGCATGTAGGTAAATCTATGAGGCATGTATTTTGTCTGGCTTTTTTATTTCTTTTGAGTTGTGTTATGCACTGTGTTTAAAATATTAGTGCATGTACTGAAAAACTGCAGCATCCGTGAGGTGGCCAGCGTAGGGTGATGGAGAGCTTCATAAACTGCTTTCCTGCACACAGATTGCTACCTGAACCAGTGCATGAAAAGCAGAATGAAACTTGGATCTATTACAGTTCCGAAAGACTTTCAGATTCGGGTTTCTAAATAGTAAATATTTTCTAAATTTGATTTGACATTTTGTTACAAAAGCAACCATATGGGTACCAGGCAGGGTTCTGCATGTAGATTATTGCATCTGCTTCTCTAAGGTGAACTGGAGCTGCAAGTGTGTTCCTAGGGACATAATTTAAAGTTAAATTTTAAGGCTAATTCATTTTGTGAATAGCTTTCAGTCAAATTAAATTCATTCATAAATGTCTCTTCTATGTTCAGTGAGGACTGTGTCCTTTAAATATCCATGGTAACACAGTACTCAATTCCTCAAATATGTATCTGTAGAAAAATAATTAAATTTAAAAAGCATTTATGATCTTAAAACTTTTAATACAACCAGGTAAAAGCTATAATGCTCGTACAAAGCTAGTAAAATATACTTACTTTCAATTAAGAAAGAATATTTTCCACTACATGGCTGTTCAAAAAGAAAAAAAAAAACCAAAACCAACAAAGCAACCAAACTTGAAATAATTTTATTCCCCTCTACTAATGGGGATGCTCCAGCATACTGTTTTGCTAACATGCACGAGGTCAGTTTCCATGTAAAAAATCTGGAATAAAATTACAAAGCAACCAATTGACTCTTTAAAAAGGCCTTTTATGGAAAAGAGAAGGGGGGGAATTTTGCGTCAGCATAAGGCATAAGCATCTTAGAGTGAATCACTGATAAGACAAATTGTCAACAAATAGAATCGGTGAACTCCCTCCTCCTTCCCCTTTAGCTTTGTCTGGGTTTTATGCTGCTGGAACAAGGAGGGAGGGTGCTGGTTCTGCTTTATCCTTCAGTAAAGCTCTGTCATGATGAGTAAAGCCTGTGTCCTTCAATCAAGTTGGAGTTGTGAGTTGGAAACTAGAGAATAACCATGAGAAGCCATGTCTTCATTTTATTCAGTCTCAAATGTGAATGCCATCAGTTCATACATAATTAAAATCTTAGCTTTCTGTGAACATAAGGACACTTTTTGTGTCTGTGCAGAATATAAACAGAGGTACTTTGGTTTGTGGTTGCACAGGAAACGCATAATGCAGTTAAGTTATTCGTGGAGTTCTCTTTCCTAAGTTTAAATAAGTAACTTGATGCCATAAAACTGTAGGAGCCTGGTATTTCAGTCTGGTATGCAAGTAACTACATAGAAAGACAGCCAAAAGTTAATGGATTTAAATATAAAACCATAAGATGACAGTGATTAAAACATTTCATGTTAGCTTGGCAGCATTAGCAAACAATAAAAGAATGTCCAATGCCTGTGATGCTTTGTCTTCCGCCTTGGTAGTCAGGAGGATTTTTATCATTGACTTCAGTGGAGTAGGGCATGAAATGGAAGGTATATGCAACTTGGCATGTGGAATATGAGTATTTTTGTAAGGTACTTCATTACTAGTGAAAAGGAGAGTGCTGAAGAAATACTATAAATTGTCTGTTTGCAGCAGTTTTCCTGGTATCGGAGAGTGAACAGAATAAAATAGGCCGTTGAGCATAGTTTTTGTCATGCATTGTGCTAGGTTTTAAATTTGCATATTAATATGACAAATCATATAATTTGACAGTCCTGAGATATTAACTCTGTGTTTTTCTTTACAGTGTAGCTCTTGCAATATATTACCACATCAAAAACAGGTATGTGAATAATGAAATCTTATACTAAAGATATCTTTAGTCAAAACAAATGAGCTGCCCAAACTCTAAAAATCCATGATCTTTCTTTCAAAATGTTTTTAGGTAATAGTTTTCTTTTTTTTTTTTTTCCCATGCTAAAAATGAAAACCTTAATATTTTAGGTTTTTTATATATATTATTTTGCTTAAAAAAAAAAAAGAGGATTAAATACCATAAAAATCTGAAAGTACATTTCAGCATTGAAAAAACTTCGATGATTCAGTGTTTGGTTTTGTGGGCACTTTTGCATTGCTGTGTATGTTGGAATTACGTATAGAGAAATTGAAATAGTGTCTTTCAGATTTATTTTTTTAGGTACGCCTTTGTAAATTTAACTGTGTACATCAGTGATCAGTGGATGCTAATGGATTTTGAAATAAAAACCATTAATTATACAGTAAAAGTAACATTATGAATAAATATAATTCAAGATGTCTCTGTAACAAAGCAGGTCCTGGCTTATTCCTTCGGGTGCATTATGTTTTAGATCTCTGCTCAGTCAAGATGATTGAAATTGAATAGAAAATTCAATTTTCTAAAAAGTAACTTGGCACATAAATTAGCTTTCTTCGTGTTGAATTGTGCTTTTGTATCTTAAGTTCCCTGTCCTCATGATATGTCACGGTATCATTAAAAAATACTTCCTGACATTTCTAAGGAGAGATTGTATAAATACAACTTGGCTTAGATCTCGATCTAACAAGCCACTTAGATGTTTTTTCTTCTGGACTGTAAGAAGTCCAACTAGAACAAAAGAAATTACTCATAAGTTTAAAGTTAAGCTGGTACGTCATTCGGGACCATGTTTCAGGTCACTGGAACCCATCACACTTCTTGAAACAAGGCTGACATCTAAAGAGAAACCTTTGGAAGTGCACAAAGGCAGAAAGGCTTAGGGCTTGATCCCTGCTGAAAGCTTTTAGAAGACTTTCCAAGATGTCAGTGGGCCTTGGACTGAAACGTAGCAAGATTTAAAGCAAAAGTTGGAGTGAAATCTTTTCACAAACCTTTAATCTCATTTCCCAGGTCATGCTTGGATTAATTGTTTATCCATCTGTGGTTCCTGTTTTTCCCCTGTTCCTCCATCATCCCTGGGTTAGTTTGGTTAACTAGTCAATTTTTACTATGCCTGACTAAATAATAGACATCTCAAAGATAAGCAGACTCTGAAGTTTTGTGGGAATAAGTTATTAAGTGCTCTGTTAAGTATCACATTACCTGAGTACAAGGCTCAGGAGAATGGGGCTCATTAGGGATGTCAGAGGGTGAGAAGCTTAAGTAAGAGCTCACAGTCAGAGCAGGAGGCATCCAGAGCCGAAGTACACCAAACTCACTTCATGCCAATTGCCATGGAGCCAATTTCTGTCAGCAGTAAAATATGTCTTTTGCGGTCTTACAGAACTTGATGCAGATTTGATCTACAACTAGTAAGAGAGGCTACACCTTTATAAAATAGTGTCCCATGTCATTGTCTTGAAAAGCGTGTTATCTTCTTGAGAAAGTTGCTGTCTGTTCTTCTGCTTTGGGGATGGAGAAGTGATTTGTTCAGGAAAAACCGGTTGCTGCTTCTCCCTCCTGAAGCTGCATGGGGCAGGGAGATGTGTTGTGAACACATACTCTGCTGCACTTGGGACAAAGGTCTCTGGAATGAAGGATGTGAGGTGGCTGTTCTGTCTTGGGTTGTTCCTGACGTAGAAATGGAGGGACAATGTGATAACAGCGTTCGGTTGTACTTGCTGCCAGAACAACAATAGCCAAACGTATGTTCTGTTTCCTGCCATTATAGGTGAAAAGGAAGTTGTTGACGTATGTGGTAGATTTTGGTTTGTTATGGGGGTGGGGAGTAAGAAACCACTGTAACTCTTATATAGAACTAAGGTTGGTTTTTGTCAGAAAATGAGTCAAGCACCTGCTTTGCCAGAGAAGAATTTTTTATACAATATTTATTTGTTCCTTTTATCCTGCACAGTAGGCTTAAAACTAAATTACTTCCCAATATTTCAAACCCTTGCCAATCACAGTTTTTTGAGAAACTTCACATGAAATAGAATATTCCTTCATGTGTTCCCCACATCACATTGAATTGTAGATTTATAGTTATCACTCCTTCTTTTCCCAGTGTCTCCTACCATGGTTATATTGCATGACTTTTTTGCAGCTTTTGATGTGCTTAGCTATTCAACGAGTGGTAAAAGACTACACCTATCTTATTTTCAAGGTATTGGTGAATTTTCTAAATCAATAAATAAAATAAACCCCAACAAAATAAACATGAAAAATCCTTTGTTCAGTTAGTACGTGGTTCATTTTTGAAAGGTAATGGTGTGAATTTGTTAATGAAGATGAAAATGTATCAAGTTTTTTTGGTGTGTGTGTGTGCAATAGAGTTTTTGGGGGCAATCAAATGTGCCTTCATAGCATGCTACAGCATGAAGAACTAAAATATGAAATTCTTCTTCTCTTATTGTCAAGGGCCACAGTTTACTGTAGCACATCAGTGACTGCAGTGGGACTACTGCATTAAGATACCAGCTTTCTTAAGTAGGGGTAAAAGAGTCTGGCCTAAAATCCTTGCTCATTAGAAATTTTCTAGTAATTATCTCAGTCTGCTTTTTTGTTTTAATTTATATGCTCCTTTTAAAAACAAAACCAAAGCCCCCCAAAAAACCCAAAACAAAATCCACCTGTTATTTCCAGTGTTCGCAGGCTTTATATCAGAAAAACGTCACCTTCAGCTGCTGAGGTTTAAATGCTAGCTGCTAATAAGTACATTTTTTAGACTTGAATCCACTGTAAAACTCGTGTTTGCATGCTCAGAGACACGTGCTGTTGTGTAAAGATAGAAAACATATTCAGTGATTCTCTTAAGGACTCTGTGACCGGAGTACCAGGGATGCTATAAATAAAGATGGGATTGTAGTAAGTAGGTCGCATGCCCAGAAAGTGTCCAGTTCGAACTGGTACTGTTAGACCACTTGCTTGTGTGATTGTTAGTGTTCCTGCCAAGATTACACACAGCAAAAATCTTATATTGCGTGCTGGACGTTAGGCTAGTGAAGCTGCATCAGCTCTCATGCTCATCTTGAGCAATGGGGATCTGAGAGAGAAATAGCACATAAAAACAATAGGAATATTATTTTGTCTGAATATTTTTATATGTACTACTTTCTGCTTTCAGAAATCGTTAGTAGGATAGTGTTTTCCAGGTAAATAATAAGTGAAGTATGTGAGTATTCACTAAAGAATAAGCATAAAAATAGTTTTGCGTGTTTGCAAATGTTCACGATGTTGATAATAAAGGAGGAGGAGGAAATAAGAGACTGCAAAGAATAAAATGATGAAGTTAAGTAAAGGAGAGCAAGCTGGGCTGATTTTATTATAAGTTCATAGTAGTACCTCTTAGGCTGTGGAGAAGCATCGCAGTAGACAGCACAAAAGCTGTGTGTCTTGGGCATCGACAGCTGAAAACTTGAGCGTACTTTGTAATATGGATTTCACATTACACATGACCCTTACGGCAGGAGAGGTCCAATTTCTATTTGCAAATCACATTCCTGCAGTGTTTTGAAGCACGCTGCAGCGTGGGGAGTATTGAGTTTGAACGATGCACTTGCGTCTGAGAGCTGCACGCTGTCCTGTTCAGATAATGACGCTACTTTGGTTTTAATACTTTTTAGGGACACAGACGGAAGAATGCTCTTAGATATTTTTGATGAAAACCTTCATCCCCTTTCGGTAAGTTCATCTGCCTCTTCTTCCCTTTCATGTGAACTGTCTTTCTGTCTGCTTCGCTTTGTTTCAGTCACCTATTTGGAAGTATTTCTTCCTTAGAAATCCGAAGTGCCACCAGACTATGACAAACATGACCCGGAGCAGAAACAGATTTACCGCTTTGTTCGGACGTTGTTCAGTGCTGCTCAACTGACTGCTGAATGTGCCATTGTCACCCTGGTGAGTGTCTGAGAGATGACATCAACCATCCGACAGACCCAGTGCTGTTCCCAAAGCTTGGGTTTGGATGTTTCCGTAGATCTAGGTGCTGCCAGGGATATTCTTCTCGCCATGGAAACCAAGGGAATTGCTTGATGGGAAGAGATACTAGAGTTCATTTTCCTGGGGAGAGTAGGTGGTGGAAGAAGAGATTAGGTCACATGAGACACAAAAGCCGGGCTATGTCTTGCCCTCACGGCGCGCTAATGTTACAGGCCAACAGGGTGACTAAAAGAAAATGCAGGTGGCATAAGTGTTCTGAACTGGAGGGGATATTAAAAGCAGAAAGGCTTCCACTTTTGGGGGGTTTGCTGTGTATCGTTGCAGCTCCCAGCAGAGACACAGGAACAGCTGTAGGCGATTTAATAGCACTAATAAGAATTGACGGGCACATGAAGGATTCGGTGAGTGACTGGGTCACGTTGGTGATGGCTCTCATTTACTTACTTGCACTGTACTTGCCTCTCAGAACCACGTCATAGGATTGAACAATTGTACTCAAGGCTGAAGTTTAGCTACTTAAAAATAGCCCAACACAAAAGAAGGTTCAGATTTTCAGCTGGTGTGGATCAGCATAGCAGTGTGGATTAGAGGAGCTAAAGTGCTCTCTGCCAGCTGAGAATTTTTTAATTTTCCTGAAATTTTTCTCCTGCCAACTCTGACAAGCTTTTTCAGCTTTCAGGCACGATTTTGGCCATGTTCTTAACTCAGAGATTTTAAAACAACAAAATGGTTTTTTACCCCTACAACATGTGGTTTTCTAACAACAGCTTTGTTATGCACTTTAGATGGAAGAAGGGGAAATTGGAGAAGGTGGATTTTGAAGCCCAGACCTACTCATTTCCTCTGTTAATCTCACTCCCTTGGCCTCTAAGATTAGTTGGCAGGCTTTTCTCCTTCAGTCAGTCAAAATGAATTGTACTAGCCTGTACAGAACAGGAATATGAGAGAAATGGGGCAAGAAACACCCTGCAGTGCTCCGCCCTTACATTTTGAAGTATTACTTTAGGGAGTTACTTGACCCAGCCATTACTTGTTTTCTGAAATGACATTTTGTCTGTCTCTTTTACATAATTGCGCTAAGTACTTGCCTTTCTCCCTTTTCTTCCTAAGTGTTTTCTGCTGGAGGCAGTATATGTTGTGTGAATCACTATGTTAATCAGCATAATTTAATTAATCTACTGTCAAATACAGTGGAATCTTGTAGTTATCTGTTGTTCTGTCTTAGGTTATTTGATCAATGAGGGCACTGTTTAGTTGAGAGGAAGAGGGCTTTTTTTAAATAACAATATCTTCCTGTTACTGCAATGCATGGAAAGTTCTTCCCCATGAATCTTGGTAACCCAGGCATATATTTCAGTCTTTGATTTGTAACTACTTCCTTGCCTTTTCTGGTTCTCATGTGGCTTCGCTGCAGGCAACTCTTCTGGCATGATTTGCAAGGAAGTAGACAGGTGTTTAACTTGTTTATCACTTTTCAGAGACAATTTCCATAGTTGTTAGTGCTTGAAAACTTAGGTGGCATGGGTTCTTTACCCAGCACAGTGATAACAGATAACCCTTTTGTAGGCTAGTTCTCAAAGCTGACATACAGATGTTTGTGGATAGATTTGGTGCAGGTGATGAGAGTTACTGTTCTGCTCTTCTTGCTTATGTTTTCAGGATAATATCACCTGCCTGACCCCTCTTTCCAGAAAGCTTCAGAGTTTTGATAAACAGTGTTTTAATAAACAGTGTTTTACAAGTATGAAATTCTGCTGATGTTGTTCTCATTTTCCTCTGTACTTCTAGATCCCATTTCTTTATTTGTTAGTGTCATCAGGAGGGGCCTCAAAGACAGATGGTGTTGGTTCTGAAATGTTCAAATGTGGAAATTAATCTGTTAAAAAGCAATCACCACTCCCCATACTCCTGAAATCTTAATAGTGTTGATACTGCTATTTATGAACTCTCCAAGTGCTTTCAATTTTGAGACCCTGTCTGGAGGAGAGCAACATTCCTTGCTGGAGCCTACGCTTTGCCGTAGACTGGCAATCTGATAGCCTTGTCTGCCACTTGTTCCTCCTGGGAGGGTTGCCAGAAGGCAGGACATGTGTCTGTGGAGATCACAGTGCGTTTTGAACAAGATGCTACAACTGTTACCTTACTTCCACTCACTCTAATTATTTTTGAAGAGTCCTGACCATCTCTTTTTACTGCCAAAATTATTAACATGGTGTAAGGTGTGTTGTTGAATGCACTTATTGTTTGTCTTTTTGCATGCCATTGGCCAGGTAGAAGCAGCACTTAGAGTTGGTTATATAGCAGTCTGTATGTTCAGCACAGGAGCTGAGGAAATGTGAAACTTTAGACTGTTAGATAAGCTAGTTTCCAACAAAAAGCCAGCATTGTGTTGCTTCAAGCACTTAATTAAAGTATTTCAATTAAAGCCTTTGCTATTACAGCAAAACCAATTTATAATTAAACAAAAAAATTAATTTTCGCACAGCCTCCAGAGCTTCCAAGAGATTTCCCATACTGATAGGTGAAAAATTAAAATCTCAGGTTGAAACAATTAAATACTAATTCACATTATCTATTTATAAAGTAATACCATAAGAATAAAATTAGCTTTAAGATTTGTGTTGCTGATTTGAAGTTTTGCAAATAATGTTTTTTATCCCAGTGAACAGATGAACTATACTCTGTGACCTGACTTTGTGAGATAAATAATGCACATGTGCTTCTCCCACCACCCAGAGTATTCCCACCCTTGCTAAAACTGAGAAATGCCTGTCTCTTCACCATCTCCTGAGGTGCAAAGGTGACAGGTTGTACTTATCTTAATCTGTTAATTGGATTACAAATAAAAATGTGAGCAGGAGTGCTATCCATACCAACAGGAAAACAGTACAGTGTTTGCATGTCATAAGAATTAAATATTTATAATTGTTCTTTTGTTTTGTAAAAGCAAAATAACCCTGTTTAAATAGACCTGAAGAGGAGAATGGTCCAAGCTTTTTGCTTTGCCTTGGCATGACTTTGAGTTTTGTGCAAATAGGCCAGATCTCAGGCTCCTAATAGACTTCAATATCCATAGTCATTTCAGGGAAGATACATTCTGCATTTGAAAACAGGCAAATATGCCAGGTCTGTGTGCTGTAGACTGATTGGATACGGTGATATGTAAATATGTACAGTTCATGAGCTGTAGTATTTTTGTGACTTTCAGAGGAGCGTGCTTTTGGAATATGTTCATACTGTGACTGAGAGGATTTGATATTGGGAAATTTGAAATTGGAAGTATGTAAGAATAAATTCTCCTTATGAAAGATAGGGATTTAATTAATCCATCCAGATGTTCCTGTGTTCTTACTGTAATCTCCAGTCACATTTTCAGCAACTAGGAAGAGAGAGAATATTGTTGAACTGCGTTGTGAAAATTACAGTATTTGAGAACTTTATTTTCTGTGTGCTTGGAAGAAAGAAGAAAACATTTAATTCATTTCCTTTCACTGAAATACTTTTAAATGCTGATAAAATACCTTTGTTTTTTCCTATTGCAAATGAAGTATCAAAAATCTGATATTTGTTTAAAAGAAAACAAAACCACAAAAAAAAAGTGGTCAAAGTCCATAGAGACACCTGACCTGCAGCAGAGGCCCTTTTCAGCCGGCCCAGCACAACTACCAACCCCCGTGCAGCTAATGGAGGATGCAGGTTCCTCTGATGGTCTCAGTACAATGCAAAGTAACGTTTATCGCCTGGTTTGAAAGCTTTCACTCTCCATCCAGTGAGCGTAAGGGATTAAGAGTGTGGTTGGGTGAGCAAGGCAAAGCATTGAAGCTGGGCTCCACCTCTCGTAAGAAACACGTGAGAAGAGCTGTGTGTATCCGGTATTATTTTTGGCCACTTTTGTCCTGGGCTTCAAGCATTCCGGGGAGGTGGACAAAACCCACCATTTTGCCACATCGGGTGGTCTCCCAAGCACAGAGAGCAGGTCTCTCCACCCATGCTGTGGATCCTGAGCCCTTTGGCAGCCAGGTATGGGTCAGGGTACGCTCCAGAGAAGGGCAACAGGAACTGCTGGGAGCAGAAGACTCAGATTCTGGTCCCTGGTTTTAGGGCTATTCTCATCTTCTGACTACGGCCTAATGTACAACACGTGCACCATTATCGGTTAATACCTGTATGACTTCTCAGGCAAGTCTTGCTTTAGGCCCTCTGGGATATACACTTTGCAAAAAGAGAACATGGAAGTGAGGCAGGGAGGAGGTTGGGTTTTTTTAATCTGCAAAAGAAGAGGGCATTCATTCAAAGAATGGGTGTCTGTTTTCTGATGCATCTCTAAGGTCGTCTGTGTGGGCAAAGAATGAATACTGATCCCAGTTTTAGACTGGAAAGTCTCTGCTGTCTAATAGTTTGAGTGCATTTTACATGTGTTACAGATCTTTGTCTTAAAATGAGTAAATTAGAGGGAAAACCTGGATATGTGTGACTTTTATCTCAGTTCCGTTAGTGCTTCCTGTAAATTCTACCATGGTACTTTTGCAGTTGTTCACATTTTCAGAGTTTAGTGACTGTGTTGGTTATTCTTTTTCATCATTTGGTCTCAAAAATGAAACCTGGATGAATTTGCAAGGTCCATGATGATGTGATGTCCTTTTCCACCAAATGGATGGCACCAGACCTTTGTAGAACATTTTAAATGCCTGGCTGGGCAATTGCAAAGCACGGTTATTTCTGGAGAGCCGTGGTAGGGAACTGGCTCATTGCTTAGAACAGAGCATATGGCAATTTCGGGATTGGATTAGAGCTGTAATTTGGCTATATGGGACCCACTACCAATTATAATTTTTTCTGTACCAGTAACTTTTTAGTTTCAAGGCATTGAGACACACTGAATTTTTCTCACTGAAGAGAGAGGACTGTATTTCCTCATGATGTGCTGGGATGGAAGCTGTCTTTGTTAGTTATTCTGT